TTTCATTTTTTAATGATCTCCCTGTCCCATTTTGACAACAGCATTGTGCTAGCCTTGTAGAATGGGTTTGGCAACATTTAATCTTCCTTTGGACTTGAATAATTTATAGAAAAGGAGTTGTTTCTCAAGTTTTCTATCCTTGAGTCAATTTTGGTAATTCATACTTTTTTAGAGTAATATATTTTACGTATATTTAAGCTTTCTTGGGTAAAACGTGCATAATATATGTATCATTGGGGACTGCCTTACTTAGAAGTGACAGAAGTGTAACTCATACTAGCAGAAGCAAGCAGGGGCTCATTGGCCTGAGGCCTCAGAGCAGGGCCAGCTCGGAGTCGTCAGGGCCCTCGGTGATTTCCTGGAACGTCTCTTCTCCTCTTGGTTGATAGTCCCTCTCTCCCTGTAGGTTCTTCAGGAAGCTCCAGTTCACACTCAGTCCTTACAGATGGGGTTACTCCTTCAAGGATCCATGCATTTCAGGGAGGACAGACTGATCTTACTCAGGTCGCTTGACCTCTCCTGAGTGACTGCTGTGGCCAGGGCTGAGTAGGGGAATGTGGGGAGGCAAGATAAGCCACCCTGATCCTTGACATGTGTTCTCCGTAGAATAGAGAGGTTCTTTTACCCAAAAAAGGGGGCATGGGGTGAGAGCAGGTAAAACCAACAAACGTTTGTCCTGTGTTCTGGGCATTTTAGTTTCTTTGAGTAGCTTTGCAATACGTCCACTTTGTTGGCCTTTTCCTTCTGTTTCTTTTGGGTTATTTGCTCATTCTGACTCCTTGGGTTGTATGTTTAGTTAATTTGTCTTGTTTTTTTTTTAATATATTTAGGGCTTAAAATGTTCCTTTAAGTACTCCTTTGTTTGACAGCTTATTGGATGTGTCTGTGTGATTTTGGGGGCATTGTATCTATAAGTTTGGCCTTAGGTTTTTCTTCCCCAGCTCTCTGTGATTTTAATAATCTTTTTTTCTCTCTAAAAACCTTTTAATCTCTACTTCCTCTCATCAGCCATTTAGCTCCTGTGGATCATAGCTAGGAATTCTGATGGTGAAAACTTGAGTAGATAAAATGTGACAGAAAAATTAAAAGGCGGTCAGAGACCTTTCCTTTAAAAGGGAATCAAGCACAGATGTTTTTATAATTAAATTCAATTAAGCCCTGGAGAAACAACTCCTTTTCTAGAAATTATTCAAGCTCAAATAAAAAGATTAAGTGTCTCCGAACCCATTCTACAAGAGTCCTTGTATTCTGCATGCTGTTCCCGTTTGTCATTCTCCAACGTTGAATTCCACCTCTACTCTCCCAGCTTAGTAGTGGAATACAGCTGTATATGATTAGAGCTCCCAGAATGAGCTGTGTTCAATAGCCCTTTTCCCCCAAAGCCGAGGCCAGTCCATGTGATTGATTGACTCCTACTGCAGTTAGGTTTGAGACTTGTGGCCTGTCAAACTCTGCATCTCCGTCACTTTGGGGCCAACCTTTACAGCCAAGTGGCTTCCACCGGAGCTTTCCCCCTGCAGCCCAGCTCACTTTCCTCCCTTGCCATCTGCCACCCATGGCACTCTGAGTGAGCCACAGGGTTTTTCTCCTTTAATCTGTAAACGTGGTGAGATACCGTGA